TTGCACTCCAGCCTGGATGACAGAGTGAAACTCCATCTCAAAAAAAAAAAAAAAAAATTCTCTCCTGCCTTTCTTTACTGGCTATGTGACTTTGGGCAAATAACTTATCACTTTTCTGAACCTCAATTTTCTCATCTGTAAAATGGAGCTAATAATAGCACCTGTGTCGTAGGGTGCTACTCTGAGACTCAACCAAGTTCGTATAAGACTTACAAAGCACTTACAACCATACCCTGCATGTGGTAAACACTGCGTAAAAGCTGTAATATATAACCAGGTTGTATCTTCTAGCTTCTTCTTTAGCCTTTAGTTTTTCTGGTTACTTCTTTATTTTTCCTTCAGGTTTTCTCTTGCCTAGTTCTTCTTGCCAGTGCAGAGACTGACTATAGTATGCACATGAATCACCTGAGGAAGATTTAAAAATGCAGGTGGCTGGGCCCCCTCTGGGGATTTGAATTCCATAGGTCTGGGGTAGGTCTTGGGCCTCTATTTTTGACAGGTGCCCGCATGGTTCAGATGTAAGTGAACTCTGAGACCCTTGGTGATGGGAGAGGCACTAGGGGAGGTGGTTTTAATTCCATGATTCCTTAGTTTTCTGTATAGCCGTGGGTTGGTTACTTGATCTCAGCTTTCTCATCTTTAAGAGGGAGATAATATATCTTCCAGCCAGGATCAAATGAAAGCATGCCTACAGTATCTAAATATCCTGTACAATGATAAGACCTAAGATTTCTGATGCATTAAGAGTGCTGGAAAATCTCATATATTTTACTTCACTCAACTCTTTCAAATAACTTGCAGGGTTGAGGCCTGGTTTTCACTATACAGAGGAGGAAACTGAAGCTCGTAGATAATTAAGAGGCTCAAATGAGTTCATGTCTATAAAGCACGGTGCCTAGCACATAGTGAGTGGTTTTCCCCTTGATTCTAACCTTGGCCTTCTCTGCCCCGTAGCAGCAAACTTTGTGCAAAGGTTTTGTGTGTGGAAGTGACATTGAATCAGTCTCCTGTTTTCTCTAATGGAAAATAGGGAATGTCAAGATCCACTCCTCGCCTGGTACAAAGAAATTCTTGTTCCTGGCTTTGCAATTTAGTTCAAGCACTAAAATGTTCCAAAGTACAGGGGTCAGCATCCATAAAGCAAACCCTCACAAAACCCTGTGCAGGTGATCTGAGTGCTGCCCCTTCCCCTTTGCCTGTCGGCCTTCCAGGGAGAAGGGAACCCACCCAGGGCACCAAGAAACTAGGGCACAGAGCGTGACCTCAGAGCAAAAAAAGCCCCTGGGTGAAGCAAGTGCAGGTGAAAAACATGGGCCAGCATGGCTCAAGGGAACCGCGCTGCTTTTCATGAGAAAAGAATCCAGCCCCTCTTGCAACCTCTGGTTTCTTCTGAACAGTTGCTCCTCTCCCACCCCTTACTGGTGCACCTGACTTAGGGGTTTCCAGGATGTCTGCAAAGTCCTCCCATGCCTGCTCTGACTTCTTGGCACATCTCTCTGGCCTCCTGGATCCTGAGCCGGATGTTTGCTTTCTGCATGGATTGTTGATCTGGCCACCTAGGAGCTGGGCTCAACCTTGACTTTCTCTCTTGCCCTGCCTCAGAGCTGCTACACAACTGGCATGCAAGTGTGTGCATGTGATTTATTTGTGAATAAGCTAGCTAAGCTTTTTAAAAATAAGTCAAGTTATAATTCACTTACCATACAATTTACCCACTGAAAGTGTACATCTCAATGGTTTTTAGTATATTCACAGAGTTGTGCAACCAACACAATCAGTTTGAGAATATGATCATCAATGATGAGAAAGGAACTTCCAGTCCCTTGAATTATCGCTCCCTACTTCCCCCAACCCCTTAATCCCTCACTGGAAGCCACTAGTCTACTTTCTGTCTCTGTAGATCGATTTCCCTTTTCTGGACATTTCATATGAATGGAATTATATATGATGTGGCCTTTTGTGTCTGGCTTCTTTTACTTAGCATAATGTTTTCAAGGTTCATCCATGTTGTAACATGTGTCATTATAGTCGTCCCTTGGTATCCAGGAGGAGGATTGGTTCCAGGACTCCCTTCATAAACCCAAATCCACAGATGCTCAAGTCCCTTATATAAAATGGCATAATATTTGCATCTAACCTATGCACATCCTCTCATGTATGTCTAGATCACTTATAAATACCCCCAAACAAGGCTACACATCACTTCATTCACTTGGATTCAGTGTAGTACTTGGGGTATGGCAAATTCAGTTTTGCATTTTAGAGCTTCATGGGGGTTTTTTGTTTGTTTGTTTGTTTGTTTGTTTTTTTCTATTTTTGATCCACAGTTGGCTGAATTCACAAATGTGGAACCCACAGATAAGGAGAACAGACTGTACTTCATTTGTTTTGGTGGCTGAATAATGTTCCTTTGTGAAGATATGCAATACTTTATTTATTCATTCAACAGTTGGTGGAGATTTATGTAGTTTCCACATTTTAGCTCTGATAAATAATGGCGCTACAGATAGATATTCACGTGCAAGCTTTCATGTGGATGTATGTTTCCAACTCTCTTAATTATATACCTAGGAATAGAATTGCTCCAGAAATCCCCTGGTAAGTCTATGTTTAAAGTAGCTAAAGCTTTTAATGTGTTAAAGAAGTTAAGATCAGAGCTCGCGCAGGACATTAAAGGTTAAAATCCTTTACTGCATTGGAGCTACCTGAAGAGATATTTATTTATTATCTGAGGATATTTATACCAGATGGGGGAGAGAAGCAAGCCAGAGAAAGACTTAGAAGCAGTTTTTGAAACTTCATAGTAAAACGCAGGTGCCTGCACCAGTCTATATTTTCTCACCATTTAGCTGAGCTGGAGGATAATGAGATTTATCTTTCCCCATATGGCCCTATCTCTGTGAGGTCAGGAGAGAATGAGAAGCTCTTGAAGGATGTAAACCTCTTTAAGGATCCTTAAACTGAGCTTTTCACAGAAAGCACTAGGGATATAGTTCAGGACCTGCTTTCGTTCGGGGAAGAACTTTCCCTCTGGGGACCCTGTCTGCATGGAGATAGCTCACTGTATTCTTGTTACATGGACGACAGTGCTAATTAGTGTTGCTAAAAATTTTAGTTTATATTTTATAGCATAAAGATATTATATACTCATTATAGCCCATTTAGAAATTGAAAAAAATAAATGGGAAAAAATTAGGCTTTATGCCACCAACCAAAGAAAGAAAATCACCATTAATATTTAGAGTATTTCCCTCTAGGGGTGTGTGTGTGTGTGTGTGTGTGTGTGTGTGTGTGTGTGTGTGTGTGTTTTCTGCATAGGATTTTTTACTCTCCAGGGAAATAACTTCTAGGCCTATGTGACGGCTCCCAGATTTCCATATGAGAGAGTTTGGGGACATCCTTCTGGTAGAAGGGGAGGCTGGAGGATAAGTCCTAAAGCTATGTTTGCAAAACAAGCATGTGTTTACTGGAAAGAATAATAGTTTGGGCAGCTTTTGGGAGGAGCTGCTACAAATTGGGAGGGATGTCAGTTTCACACCTCCCATCAAAGGAAGGTGAGGAAATCCACTAAACTTACAACCTCCAGGCCAAAAGCTAGAAAGTACCCTTTTCTCTGCATGCTCTGAGCTCAGTGTCCCTGCCATCCTGGCTGCATGATGCTCCTGTCCCCACTTTAAGGTGACTCACCCCTCTTGCTCAGGAATGAAAGAGGTCAGTGCACAGCTTGCTCTTCACCCCAGCTTCTCTAGAATTTAACTCAGGGCTGATAAGTGACCTAAGCAGCCCCGCTGGCTACTCAGTGTGACCTCTTAGAAACCAGAAAGGGAAGGAGCCACAGGCAAAACTCAAGGACACCATTTTTTCGCTTAGGTTTGTTTTAAATAGGGGTCTGTCCTTTCAAGTCCCTTCTAACCCTGAAGCTATGGCCGTGTTGCCGAGACAACCTGCTTGGAAGACTGAATAGGCAGGATACAGCTTACCGTTCTACTAAAGTACGGCGTGCAGCAAGTCCGTCTGATATGCTTGATGACGCACAGTTATGGAGTCACACGGCAACCAGACCCAGGGAACAGCGTTCTGCTTCATCACCTCTAATTTGTGGTGGTGTTACAGAACCAACACCGTTTTTGTTGTTGTTGTTGTTTGTTTGTTTGTTGTTTTTTCTCATTTTATTAGTTCTTCTGGACTGAACCAATAATCAGCATAAATGGTGAAGGGTTTTCCCAAGGTCTCATGTCCCTTATGACTGCACTTTTTGTCCTTTTTCCTATCTCTCTCACCTCACGCTTTCTTCCCCTTCTGTCCCCTGGACCCCAGGAGTCCCCCAGACTTTCTCCCTGCTTCCTGCCCCCTTCAGAGAGTACCAGCACCAACAAGCACCACGCAGAGGGACTTGTGGGCCAGGAGGCCAAGGACTGCCTGGTAAACCTGCTGACCTTGGCAGGGAGGAAGGGGAGGAGAGGGCTCAGGGTGAAAGGGCTTTGGATGCTGGCAACAAAGAGCCTGGAGGTCTGGCATGAGGCCGAGTTGGGGACTGGCCCAACCACTTCATCTGAACTTGGCCACCAACTCATTACGTAACCTTGGAAGCCACTTCTCTCTCTGGGGCTTAGTTTCACCATGAGGGTGGGGGACAAGGATACACTCTAAAGTCTTTCCCAGCCCTAGCAGTCTATGATGTGAATTGAGACATGGACTAGGACCGAAATCTAGTGATGTGTACCCAAAATGGTAATAGAATTGAAAACGCCTTAGGTTAGCTGTCAAAGGTGTTGAGTTCTCTGTCAGTCAGCAACCCATAATGACCTTAGACAAATCGTGCCTGAGTCTCTTTATGCATAAAACCCGTATCTATTTATATCTCAGGTTGGTGAATAACATGCTAGTGAAACAGCAGGCGGGAATTGTAAAGAAAAGATTATGAAGTTACTCAGCGGAGGTGAGGGCCCTGATGGGGGAGTTTGGAGGCCTGCGTTGGGGCCCTAAATGCCTGAAGGGTCAGGGGAAACCATGCCTCATGCGAGAGACGACTGGATGCCTTGGCATTTACAGGTAATTGTGTGGCTCAGGCAAGGCAGAGGAAAATGGAACCACTTCCTAACTCCTAGGGCTGTGGTCTTGGTGGACAGAGGATTCCACTTGGGCAGGGGGCAAGTGAGGGGCAGGGTGTGGCATGTTGCACTGGACATTGTCTTTAGCCCAGTTCACGAAGGGGGTGGTAAGAAATGAAATGGCACAGTTACTCTGCAGTTGCAACACTAGGAGCATTCTAAGAAATAAAGGGAGAAGTCTAGCCCACTCATCAGGCTGTTTTAGGAGAGGTGTAACACTTAAGATAGGATGTGAGTAACACCACAAGCCCGAGAGCACATGTGGCCACCAGGGCCACCTGTCTACCCGGGAGGATACCTGATCCCGCCGGGCACCGGGCCGGGGAAGGGAGGCACTGAGACCCTGGGGTTCCCGTGAGTCTGCTGGTGCAGGCTCGGCTCTACAGATGGTCATTGTTCTCAACACCCCTTTGTTGTCCTTTCCCAGGCGCCAGGCGGGTGGGAACTGAAGAGTCATGGCTTACCCAGAGATAAGGTCTTTTTATGAGCTTCCTGATTTCACTGAGGGAGGAACTTGGCCAACGGGCACGGATGATGGACAGTCCCCTCTACCTGGTTCCTTCTGGGAGAGTGAAGTTCTTTCCAGTGCAGACGGGAGGGCGCCGACCGGCTCTGGGAAGACTCGTGCTGGGGTGCTCAGGTGCAGAGGTCCAACCCAGCAGGACGTCAGCAAGAGAGAGGAGAAAGCTTTTGTTTATGCTGCTACGGTTCATGCCAACAAATGCTCAGGAGAACAAGTCCAACCCTCGCTTCTGGAGGTGGGCAGACTAGCAGATCATGTCCCAAGATTCTTCTGGAAATTTCTCCTTTCCCCTCCAGGGAAAAAGACAGTGAAGGGGATTAAAAGAAAATCAAAAGAAACACCCATATATTTTATCTAAATTCTAAAATGCGGGAGAGACTTGAAGGTGAACCTTGAAACGTCATTAGTCAGGTCCAAAGGACTTTAAATGAGGTAGTTTCAAACATTCATTCTGGTGAATTCATAAAGAAACAGAGACAGAGGCAGAGGAAAAGACACACACACAGAGAGAGAGAGAGTTCAGAGAAAGAGATTTTAAGTAAGGTAAACTTTTAGTATAGAAATACATGTGCTTGGTAAAATAGTCAATTAAAAAAGTATAGAGTGGCCAGGCACAGTGGCTTACGCCTATAATTCCAGCACTTTGGGAGGCTGAGGCGGGTGGATCACTTGAGGTCAGGAGTTTGAGATCAGCCTGGCCAACATGGGGAAACCCCGTCTTTACTAAAAATACAAAAATTAGTCAGGCGTGGTGGCCCGCCCCTGTAATCCCAGCTACTTGGGAGGCTGAGACAGGAGAATCGCTTGAACCCAGGAGGCAGAGGTTGCAATGAGCCGAGATCGCGCCATTGCACTCCAGCCTGGGTGACAGAGCGAGACTCCATCTCAAAAGCAAACAAACAAACAAACAAAAACGGATAAATGCTTGAGGTGATGGATATCCTGTTTACCCTGTTGTGATTATTACATGTTGTATACTTGTATCAAAATATCTCATGTACTGTGTAAATATATATACTTACTATATAACCACAAAAATTAAAAATGAAAAAAAGATATGTACATTTTTCAAAAACAGAATAGAAAGAGAACAAAGCTTCTGTCCTGATGGTGGGAATAGTGGCAGGCAACGAGGTTTGAGGTTTGGAGAATCCAGCTGTAAACAAACACACAAACAGATCATAAAATGTGAGATACTGTTAAGTGTTAAGTACTATGCAGAGGATTAAAATAGACTCTGATATGTTGGTAAGTGATTGGGTGGTCACTCCCCCTCTTTGTGAGCAGACGGCTTTTAAGGTGAATAATATGAATAACTGGTACATCTCTTCCTTCTTTGTTAGCTTTCTAATCTCTAACAGTACTTAATGTTGAGAGTCGCTCCGATGCCATGTGTATGTCATTTCTCACTTATACAGACTCACACTGACATTCACACATTAACAGTCAAAGAGGCAGCCTCAGACCATTCACCATCTGGGGCCGCCTATTGTTCCCTCCACCCTCTTTCTTGTATCGGAACTAAGACCCCATTCTCCCCTGTCCTTATACACTCCACATGTTCCCCACTCCATCTGAGGAGTTCATGAGCAGCATGTTGAATATGTAAAGTGTATGATGCAAGTTGGAGATTGTGGAAGTGTGGGAGGCCATCCTGAATGTCTGCTAGCCTTAGACGGTCTTTTAGACGCTCTTTGTTTTTAATACATCCCTGGCGTGAACTACATTAGTCCTCCTTTGTTTCTCCAAAGGACTGCAGAAGAAAATAAGCCAATTATGTAAGCATTCTGGCTAGCAAACTCTTGGTACCTACTAACCATAGATCTAAATGTTGTGTAGTAATGCTAAGGACTCCAAGTTCCTAGGAAATCCTCATTATTTTTACTCTCAATTCTAACACAGTAATTCTCTGAGTTAGGAGAGGACACCACTTCTCCCCAGAAATGAGAACACTTCTCACTTCCTTCCCTCTGCCTTTCTGCCTTCCTTTCCTTTCTTCCTTTCTTTTCCTTTCCTTCCTTTGTTCCTTCCTTGCTTCCTTCCTTGCTTTCTCTCTTCCTCTTTCCATGTTTCCTTTCTTCTTCCTTCTCATAGTTTCATTCTTTACGTATGTATCCGTCATCAATTTATTGTTTACTGTTACCGTTTTTGCACTTTGTATTAATGAAATCATACACATATTCTATGGCTTCTTCTATGACACATTTCTTTGTTCATCATTTTTTCATGTTGTTGAAATTTACTCATGTTCATATCCATAGTTATTAGATATTTTCTCTAACCAATAGTTTTACTTTATATTAAAATGCCACAATTTGTCCTTTCTGCTGATGGGCATATAGGCAGTTTCTGATTTTCACTATTGCATACGATGCTGTAATGAACATTCCCTGTGCTGCCTCCTGGTGCACATGGACATACACTGGTGAACAGAAGTCCTGGTTCAAAGTGTTATGAGCAGATTCAACTTTATCAGACAAAACAGAACTATTTTATTTTATTTTTTCCCCAGAAGAGTTGTCATTTGAAGAAAGCTCTCTGTAGTTAGGAAAGGGGAACATAGGTCTGGGGGGGTTCAAAAGTAGCTTCTCTAACCATTACAAAGGAATTTATTAAATTTTTAAAAAAGTAAGTCTGCAATTTTAATAAATAAGAATCCACATAAACAAAGAACTTTGGCATACATGGAAGGAGCTCAGGCTGTGGGATGCATCGATGAATACAGGGTGCTTCTCCTGTTAGATAGTGGACTCTTCTAAGTAGGCAAAAGTGTGATGCACATAATTGTGATGTGTTTGAGGTAAAGCCAAAAGAGAAAGAGTCAGGGAATGCTGGGGCTACCCATGGCACTAACTAGTGAATCCCAGTTTTCAGATGGAACTGTCCCCTCTGGCTCATCAGTCAACATGAATTTGCTTGAAGGACCATCAGTTCCTTAAAGCCTCATCTCCCCCAGGGGGTGTTGTTTTATCAGCCTCCTTCTCCCTGTGTGGGGAAGCCTGCCTCGCTCACCCTCACTGTTTTACATAACAATGGCCAATTCCCTCATTTAATTCATAATAATGAAAACTGAACATATGACTGCAATTTTAAATTGTTTTGGGTTTTGTTCATAATGATGCAAATAGGAATGCATAGATTCATAGATATACAAAAAAAAAAAAAAAATCTAGACCACTGTTTAACCCCAAATGGATTTTATACACAACATAGACCAAAGTGAATTTCAGTGAAATGCTGGAGTTTCCAATCTGTCATGGGTGCTCACAGGGGTGATTCCCTGACAGGCTTCCTCCACCCACACCAATGAAGCGTGGGCATAGGAAGATGACTTCGTCCTGTGCTCCCATTTTCTGATTGATTTGCATAATGCTTAGGAATTTGTGAAATATTTCCACCAGCATTGTTTAATTAGATTTTCATAACCTAGTGAGTGAGGAGGAACGGATGATCTCCAATTGTGAAGAATGAAGAAACCAAGGCCCAGGGAGGTTGACAGACTTGTCCTGAGTCACCTTTGCTCCTCTCCCAAGTGGGCTGGGTCCAAAAGGGCTGGGTTGTGCCACAGTCAATGGAAACGTGTGCATCTCAGGGTGCATCTTGGGATTACGGTGGTATTTCTCCATGCCTGGGGCTAACCGAGCTTAAACTCACTGAGGAGAAATGGGCACCCACAGAGCGAGGTGGCCATCCATTCCAGCATCTCATCATGGCCCTGGCCCCAACAGCATCTTCCAGAGGGACTCAAGCCCATCCAGGGAGAAACCATGAGCAACACAGTGATGATAATTGCGTAATAGGCAGGAATACATTTCAGATTCCCACCTTGCTCTGATTTTCAGGCCTCTCTTCTGTGGTGGAAGGTAAATATCCTAAGAAAAACAAACCTTGGCTGCAGCTGTCTTCAGGGATCTGTGTACTTTCAAGATAAGGTGAGTTGCCCCAATCATTTTATGATCCTAATTGTTGGGGAACAGGATATTCATCCTCAAACACATCACCGCGGCCCTCCCAGCTTCCTTCTGTGCTGATTAAAATGAAGCCGTTTGCTTAGGAAACCCCCCAGACCTGTGGCATTGATAGTCATTTTTTTTCTCTCCCTAGAAAACCTAATTTCCAGAGGGTATGCCTTACCACAGCAGGCCTCCACGTGGCTTACACAAATAATGCAAAAATCTCCAACAACCCCTACCAAGAACTTACTCCTGGTGCATGGCCTGCATTTTATTTTATTTTGTTTTATTTTATTAAATTTTTAAAAATCTAACTAAAACATTTGGGCTGTTGTTTTCCTTACCCCTGCCCCCCAACACCTTCGACTGTACACAGAGTAATTTCAAACTGTAAGCTACTCCTGACTTAACTACTTATTAAAAACACTAATATGCTTGGCTGCTTTGATGTCTATGGAACAACAAAGGAAGAGAGTTACTCTGGGCCACTGTAATCCTTGATTTGTCACTAAGTTATGACACCCAGCAGAGCCGTGTGACAGTGCAAATCAATCATCCCGTGTGCTCCGCGGGGCCTTCCCTGCCTCCCGCCGAGCCGCTGCAGTTTAATTAGCTTTTTTCACACTACCGCAATGTACATCTGCAGCTTCAGCAAGAAAAAGAGATGGAGGCAAGTTCACTGGGAAGCGGGAGCCTTAAAAAAAGTTCATATCGTGGAAAAAAAAAAAGTCTGAAAGAAGAAACATCAGAGACCTTTGTAGTTTTTGCTTCAGAGGCATTAAGACTGAGATACACAGGCCTGGGGTACACCAGATTGTTAAATGTAGACTTTAAAAACAGCTCCACCAAACCCTGTGCAGAGGAGCTATCAGATGGTGTTTAAAGGACTTTTTCTTCTTTTGGGGGTAGTCTGTGTCTCCTGCTTTCCTCCTGCCTCTATATCCCACCTTTGGTTGATTGTGCAGAAATTCTTTGAGTCTGAACCTTCTTGAGCCCATCAAGATGAAAGAGGCGAGACCTTGATTCTGCCCAAGTTTTCCAAAACTTTGGATAAGTTCCTCCCAAAGGGTGGTGTCCTTGAGTGAAAAGCATGTTCCTCTGTTCATTTTGCAGTGATAAATAACGGCAGCCACAGGCTAAAGCCAGGAATGAGGCCTCGAAAGTTGGGAGTCATTGACGGGGACAGCAGGGGTGAGAGCAAATCAGGCCTCGGTGTCAGACACAGAGCGACACTTTTGTCCTGGCCCTGGAGGGAGTTAGACAGATGAGATCAAGCTGACCCTGCCTACGCTGGGGGAGTTCAGGACACTGTCTGGTTTCTCTGGAAAACCACCTACCAGGGGAGGGGCTGGGAGACAGCCAATCTGCTTTTCTGGCCAGTTCCTGGGCAACTGTTATGGCTCATGGGCTGGTGAACTCAGACTGATGACAGTGATTTAAGGCATGTTGGAAGTTGGGTTTTCTCCTCCCAGAATTATCTTTCCCTAGTTAGGGGAAGGGAGCAAGACAGAGCATGGAGGTGCTGAGGGGTCACCTTGTCACAAGTCATCACCCCGTATTCAGGTGATGGCTTTTGCATCACTTGCAGGGAGGTGTGTATCTGAGGATGCCAAGAGCCCATCTCACAAGCTCTCCCTGGTGCTCCTTCTACCCATTTTGTTTAGGCTTTGGCAACAGCCTGGGCCCATTTCTTCTGTTTCTGTCCCTCACGTGTTGGCACATCTTAGCTGATGGAGGCAGGCTCTGCTGTGTGCGCTGCTCTGAGACTGCACAGCCAGACCCTGGAGGGTCTCCCATGAAGATCCTGGCCCAACCTCCAGGACCTTCAGCCCCATATCAAAAGGTCAGGGTCAGGGCTAAAAAGAAATGAGCTAACAAGCCACAAAAGGATGTGGAAAGAACTTAAATGCATGTTGCTAAGTGAAAGAAGCCAATCGGAAAAGGCTATGTACTGTACAAATCCAACTGTATGACATCTGGAAAAAGGCGAAACTATAGGGGCAATAAAAAGGTCAGTGGTTGCCAGCAGGGAGAGGGAAGAGGGTGAATAGGTGAAGCATAGGGCATTTTTAAGGCAGTAAGACTCTTCTGTATGAGATTGTCATGGATACATATCATTGTATGTTTGTTAAAACTCGTAGAATATACAACACAAAAAGTTATAGACTTTAGTTAGCAATAGTGTATCAATATGGTCTTATCAGTTGTACCAAATCTACCACACTAATGTGTTATTAACAAGATGTTAATAATAGGAGAAATTTGGTGGTGGTGTAATATGGGAACTCTGTTATTTTCACTTATTTTTTGTAAGCCTAAAACCACTCTAAAAAAGAAAGTCTTGGCCAGGATCTGGATTAAAATGAAAAAAAAAAAAAAGAATAAAGTCTGACTGGACGAGGTGGTTCACGCCTGTAATCTCAGCACTTTGGAAGCCCAAGGAGGCAGGATTGCTTGAGCTCAGAAGTTCAAGACCAGCCTGGGGAATATGGTGAAACCTCATCTCTACAAAGAATAGAAAAATTAGCCAGACATGGTGGGATGCACCCATAGTCCCAGCTACTCGGGAGGCCAAGGTGGGAAGATCATCTAAGCCCAAGAGGCAGATGTTGCAGTGAGCCATGATCACACCATTGCACTCGAGCCTGGGTGGCAGAGCCAGACCCTGAAAAAAAAAAGCAATAAAGTTTATTCATTAAAAAAAATTTTTTTTTAAGTCACAGGGACAAAAGCCACAAAAACAGGAAGGAGAGGAGAGGTGAGCAAGGGGAGGCTTCCCTCCGACCTGCAGTGTTTATTTTGTAGTTAATTGCCAGCGGGCATTCACTGAGACCTGTGGTTACCTGGGAAGCATCCTTTTCTTCTGAGACAGGCTTCTTCTTGACCTTGCTTTGAGCACTGAGCAACAATCACCTCCCTGTTAGTGACATGCGAAACCTGAGTCTAACTCTCCTTCCCTGGTGACCTCCATCCAAGTGCCGTGTTTTATGTAATGGGTGGATGTAAACAGCATTTTGATATGTTGAATCGCCTTTTGAAATATACAAAGAAAATATTCTCTAGTGAACTCCTCCAGAGAGGAAAGAGGCACATAATTTCAGGGCAGAAATTGTTCTTCTAGGTCATGTGGTCCCAACCCCAGAGGGGTTAATTGACCTGATCAAGGTCATCCAGCCAAGCCTGGACCAAACTGAGACAATTTGAGGTTTCCTGACTCTCCATCCTATCCAGCATCCTTCCACTGGCGTGGCTGATAAATGGTCACCAGGGTGGTAGAAAGTTGGCCTGCTGACCTTCCAGGAGACCTGAGTCCCAGTCCTATATCTGTTTGTCAGAGATTGTGTGGCTTCATTAAATCTCATAACCTCCCTCTACACAAGCCCAGATGAATTTCTTTGTCTCCAAAATGGAAACACTCATCATATTAGAACTCTTGGCTGGGTGTTGTGGTTCATGCCTGTAGTCCCAGCACTTTGGGAATCTGAGACAGGTGGATCACTTGAGGTCAAATGTTTGTGACCAGCCCTGCCAACATGGTGAAACCCTATAGCTACTAAAAGTCCAAAAATTAGTCAGACGTGGTGGTGTGTGTCTGTAATCCCAGCTACTTGGGAGGCTAAGGCAGGAGAATCACTTGAACCTGGGAGGTGGAGGTTACAGTGAGCTGGGATCATGCCACTGCACTCCAGCCTGGGCAACAGAGTGAGACTCCGTCTCGAAAGTAAAATAAAATAAAATAAAATAAAATAAAATAAAATAAAATAACTCTCACCAGCAGTTACCAGGATTGAGGAATTTTTGCAGAATAGACAGCTTGTCCTGTGCCAGTTAATGCCGCCTTGGGTTACTTTTCTCTCCACTGCAGTTTTATTCCAGACAGGGATTATATATTCTTCCCAGAGACAGGCAAAGAGGTTATTTACTCCTGTGGAGTGGTGCTCCTCAAACTTCCACGCGCACCTGAATTCTGGTTGGGGGATCTCGTTAAGATGTCCATTCCGATTCTGCAGGTCTGGGGTGGGGCTCCACGTGCTTCGTTTCTTCCCAGCACCCAGATGGAACTGATGAAGCTGGTTCCTGGTCCACACCCTGAGTGGCAGGGCCCTGGAGGACAGGGGGGCCGGGGGAGGGGCTCACAGAGTGAGAATCCCTTCAGCGGGTGTCTCTGGCTGCTTTTGTCAGGGATAGGGGGCTTAGGGGACAGGTCCCCATCTTTGACTTCAGGAAGGGCAGAATCAGAAGCGCCTGGGGCCTGGGGCCTGGGGCCTCCCCAGCATCTGAGGGATCAGCTGCCAGGGTTGACAGCCTGGCAGGGTGGGGACAAGGATCTCGAATGGCCCCTGGCCCCTTGTTCATTTTGGCTCCTGTTCAACTTCACACAAGGCTCAGCGCCTTTCTCCATCCCCTGTCCTTCCCCACCTGAGGAGTCCACACCCCTCTCCTGCCTGAGTGTCTGATGCAGAACTTTCAGCTGCTCAGAAGCTCGGCCTCACCAGCCACTTCAAATACTTTCCCACCAAGGGGTTGGGACATCCCATGAAGCCCTCGCAGCCCCAGCACCGGGAGGTCAGCTTCAAAGACAATGTGTGACTGGGGGCCGGCTCCCGCTCGGAGAAGCCTTAGCACTTTGCGGGTGACTCCCCGGAGGAAAGGCCTTCTCATCGCAGAGGGGAAGGACGTCCCTTTTGAAAGAAAAACCTTGTTTTCCTCCTCTTCCCACCCCCTGTTTCATCTGTTTCATGTCATCTCAGTCTGGGTCCAGGAAGATGTACGTGGGTGGGGCTGAGAGGGGTGGGAGTTTGGCACTCACGACCTCTCCTGGTGTGTGATTGCCTCGGGTGCTTTTGTTTGCACCTCGGGAATGCTGATGGCCCTGGGTAGGTTCACTGGAGACTGTTTTTGCACCAGTGTCTTGTTTCACATTTAGCTGACATTCCCCAGAGGCAGACCCAGCAAGCATGGAGTGAGGGCTCTGGGAAGACAGCGGGAATGAGGCCCCCAGCTGCCACCAAGCCCCTAGCTGCAACAGGCCCATTGCACTGTGAGGGGCATTTAGCATTCTTGGCCTCTTTCTACTAAATCAGAGTCCTGCCTAGACATGCGACAATCAAGAAATGTCCCCCCACAGTTCCAAATGCCCCCTGAGGGGTCTGGTCCCTCTCCTGGTTGAGAAGTAATGAGGGCCTCAGTGACAGTGGAGACCTGCCCCTTTGGCCAGCCATGCAGACCTCCTGGCAGGGGGTTATGTACCTGAAAATT